GTTCTCCTGGCCACCACCGTCGTCAAAGCACAAGTTGGGCTTCGCGGGACGACGCAGCATCAGAGTATCAGGGTCCAACTCGAACCACTGGTTCTCGTTACCTGCGTCGCACTTCCAGAGGTGAGCTGTGCTTTCACCAGCAGACCAACCGCCACCGTCGTCAAGGCACATTCCGGGTTTACTCACACTTCGGAATTCGCGAGTATTGAAGTCGTAGGAGAAGAGCTGATTCATGCTCTGAGGATCGCATGGCCGGTAGACGAACTTGGTCTCACCGCTCGTCCAGCCTCCGCCATCGTCCAAGCACAGGTTGTTCTTCCCGTGTGAACGAATCAACACTTGCTGACCAGATTTAAGTAGATCCAAGTACTTGGTACCAATACGGTCAGGGTTCGGAATTCCTGGTACCTGGATCGAAGCAGGAGAAATAATCTCAAAGTGTTGGTTCGGGTTGTTAACGTCGCAGGTCCAGAGCCAGAATTTGGTCTCAGCTGGTGTTGTTCCGCCACCGTCGTCAAAGCACAAATTGTCCTTAACTGGGTTGCGGATCATCATGTTCTCGTCGTCGAGAATGAACCATTGGTTCTGGTTATTCTGGTCGCAGTCCCACAACTGAGCTGTAGTTTGCGCTGCCATCCAACCACCACCGTCATCCATACACAAACCAGGTTTGTTAACGCTCTTGAATTGGTGCGTCGAGGAATCGTATCTGAAGATCTGGTTGGGACTCGTTGGATCACACGGTTGATTGGTAAACTTGGTCTCTCCACTCGAATGGCCTCCACCGTCATCGACACAGAGATTCTCCTTGCCACGAATGCGAAGCATAAGGCTCTGGCCCGAGTAAAGCAGATCGACGTCGTCATCAAATCCAGCATCGATGAGCTTCTTCCTCCTCTCTGCGAGCATAGCAGCTCGAGGTAGAACCTCAAAGTGTTGGTTCGGATTGTCGTCACTACAGAACCACATGACGAATCGAGTCTGACCCGGTGCGATGCCTCCACCGTCGTCGAAACACAAATTCTCCTTCACGGGGTTGTGCAGCATCAGCGTATCTTCATCCATGACGAACCACTGATTCTGGTTGTTCGGATCACATTCCCAAAGCTGAGCTTGGGATCCTGCTGCGTTCCAGGCGCCGCCATCATCCATGCACATACCAGGCTTGTAGACACTCTTGAACTGGTGCGTCATCGCGTTGTACGTGAAGATCTGGTTGGGGCTGTTCGGGTTGCAAGGCTGGTCAACGAACTTAGTCTCGCCATTCAAGTGGCCCCCTCCGTCGTCCACGCACAGGTTGGCCTTACCACGAACACGAAGCATGATCTCCTGTCCAGTGGCGAGAATGTCAAGCGCAGTGGTCCCTGCCGCAATCTGCATCTTCTTCTTCTCCTCCATGATTCGTTCAGGAGAGACGACTTCCAAGTGTTGGTTGGGACTGTTACTATCACAAGGCAATAGCATGTATCTAGTAGCACCCGCTGCCATACC